TTTCAGCCTAACTTTCATAAGTCTATTATGGAGATAAAATGGAAGAGGGACACATTCAGTACATCTCCAAGAGTGCTTTAGAAGAAAGGCAAGACATAAAGGTAATAAATACCCAAGTAAATGGGTGCCTAAACATATAAAATGAAATGAAATAGACCAGCTGGGCATATGGATGATCTGTATAGCAATCCTAGTTAATAATTGTTGATAGGCTTATCTTTTTGTTGGAGAAAATGTAAGTTAAGAAAATAATAAAGAGTAAGCAAAAGCAGTTTCCTTATTTGTTAGTTCATCTACCCATACTTAACTGTCCCACTGACCCAGCTTCCATAACTAGCATTACTTCTAGGGGAGGAATTCTGCCCCCTTGTGGAGAGGGAAGAAAGCACATTTCTGTTAAAAAAAATTCTATGCACGCTACGCACCTGCTCCAAGTGCCAAGTCTTATTTCAGTTCAGATGCAGGTCTTCTCTCTGCCCACGATCCAAGTAGTTACCCAGACCTTTTGACTTCTTCTCATTCCAACATAGAGCTTCCCAGAAGAGGCACCAGCAGGGCTCAGGGAACCAGCAGGACTAGTTGTCCCACGGACAGGGACCAGAGCTGCACACAGTCTGATCTCTCAATGCCTCTGTTGCTTTTCCCTGTTCCTCAGCCTCCTTCCCTCCTAAGTGCCAATATCTTCCTTCCAGAGAGCAGAGCAGCATTTACAGAAACAGCCACTGATTTTTTGGTTTAAGAAAGAAAAAGGAAAAGGTCCCCAAACAACAGCAGACTGAAGTCAAGTGGCTTCTCCTCCAGCTGCAGTCCTTGGCCTGGCTCCAAGGCAAACTCTGCTCCATAATTACACAATTTAGAAGAACAGCCCCATGCTGATTTAAAGGGCCAGAGATCCAGATCTCATAGGCCTGCCTGGTCCAGCTCCAGGGATCATCCCTGAATGAAGTCACGTGAGGTGACACATTTGAACTGAACAGGTGTGTGCATATGCATCCAGGGAATCATTCTCAACAGCCTTCCCGGATTACATTTCTGGATGTCAGAACCTGGTCCCACAGAAGAGGCAGGTGTGACCTCACTTGGTGTCCTTCCTGTTTCCATTTACCCTGGAAAGAATCCTAATCTGGATCCCCATAACATCTTTGAAAAATGCATCAGTGTGCTTGAGTCTGATTGAACAGTAAGGTGTGGAAGTGACCTGTTTGAGAGTATATGAGTGGCAGCCATCCAACCTGAAAATAGAGACAGCTATCAATGTTAAAGAGGAAAGAGTCCCAGTGAACCATCTGAGTAAGAACACCAGATACTGTAGCTCAGCTTTTCCATCCTGGTGGCCTCTAGATGTGTGGGAACTATAATTCTCAGAATCTCCCAGCAAGCCTGAAGATGGCTGCTATAGCATTGCTGAAATTAAACAAGAAACAAGACAGGAAACCACACTAAATGTATGTTGAGGATTGGTTTCTTCAGAGGATGGTTAGAAAGTACACAATACAGGAGTCTTGGTGAAACCAAACTGGTTAAACCCAAGGTGGGATAATCAGCTCTGTGAACTGTTTTCTGATCCATGAAGGGGAAAGGCAGCATTACATTTTAAAAAAGAAAAGCAATACGCGGGGGGAAATAAAGTGTGAAAGATCTTCTGTCTTAGAAAATGCATAGAGAGAGAGCTACACTGGGCCAGAAATATTTGAAAATACCATCCACCAATCATTTAGATTGGTACCATAAACTCTTGCCTTAAGTTTGGAAAAGTTGGCTTGATCAAGAAGAAAATTACTTTGTGATCAATTCTTTTCCAGGAAAAGCATTCATACAATTCAAAAGTTGAGAATGAATACTTAATTGGAGAAGGCACTTAGGTTAAAACTCCAGTCTCTGAATATAGGAATGAAAAAAGAAGAAATTAAAGGCTATCAGGAAATGGAATGAGACCTTACAGTATTTGGAAAACCAATCCTTAAAGTGTTGCAGCTCCTAATAATACAATTTGGAAATACGTCTGTCTCGGGAATGAAACTATGCACATGTAAATTAGCACAAGTATTTGTGTTCATATTGGGGAAAGTTGTGAGGGAATCCTTAGCTGAAAACATAGAACTTCACATATTCTAGTGTTCATTATTGAATTGAGAGCTAAAATGCCTGAATTTCTTCCTTCCTTACCCCCACCCATAACTAAAGGTCTGTTTGTAATCCAAAAGGCTCCAGCTACATTCGCCAGCAGCCAGGCAACTCTGGAGGTCCCCCTGAGGTCATACATCTGACCTTTACCTCTTGAATCATGCCTTTTTCCCATTAGCTACAGCTGTCCCTGCTGCTGCCACCCCCTGAGTGAACATGGCCCTTCTGTGAACAGCCCTTGGCCACATAGTGCTTCTCTCCTGGAATTCAGCTGAGATTGGAGCCAGAACCTTTCCTAAGATTGCTGTCTTTCTTCAGCAACTCCCCCCATCCCCTCCTGCCATGTCAGCTTGCCTGACAGCAAATTATCTGCCGGGGAAGGAAAAAAAATCCCAGCCTGAAAGTAAGGAGAAACTAGAGACCCCCACATCTCTCCCCAGCAGCTTCTCCTCTCCAGTTTCTGGGGATAATCCAAAGCTGGACAGAGGTTGCAGCTCATTAGGAGAACACAAGTTCTACAGATAGAGATAAGGGGGGAAGGGTTGTACAATGTATTTTTATGTATGTGTGTATTACACACCCACACACCCATCTATGAAACCCTAGTGCCAGGGAATGATCTGATGTTACCTAGAGGGAAAGCTATGATAGCAACTGAGGGGGAAATTGGTTAAGAATCTCCTTGTCTGCCAGCCTCCATGGAAGAAATAATTAAGCCAGGATTCAACTGCAGTCACCTCTTTTTTGAAATTGATTACCTGGGCATATCCAAAATCTATTTTAGCCCTTGAATAAGCTTCTTCAATCTCAGCTTTGTGGTAAAGCATGAAAACTGGGCATATATGTTCTCCTTTCTCAATGGCTACTGTATACCAGCTGGGGCCACTTCCATGTGTGAATTAGCCATTAGAGTTTTATTCCCACCTTGAGTACTCTGGCAGTTCAACTGAAACTCACATGGAAAAGCACTCATTTAAGCTATTTTTTTCTTTTATTCCCCTCTTCCGTACCCACATTTTGCTTTATGCATTAGATGGGGAAATTACTTTTCCCCTTTCAAAATTGCCAACTCTCCATGAAGAGACTACAATGAAAAAGAGAGACATTTGCTCCATCTGCTTGGAGTATGCTCTAGTTGCAAGATTCAAACACTGAGCAGTTTGACAAAATCTAGTAAGTAGAATGATAGTGAAGGGGCTATAATTAGGGAAATAAGGGTGGGATAGATGCAGTCCATCCCACAAAATGCAATTATACTGCCTAAAAGGACTGGACTCCAGAAGGAGGCGAAAACCAGGAATGTACGATTCTTGGTATTCTGTTGCCCCAAACAGTGACTTGTATAACTTATTGGATAGGGCAGCTCCTGGGTGAGAAATCCAGTAATGAGCATATGTATATGTTACTCTAGCCTTCTTCTGAACTCAGTTTGGAAACATAGGACCTTCTAAGACAGCCCTGGTAAAATAGCTATTATAGAGCAAGTAGTGTGACCCCCACTAGAATGTTGCAGATGATGCAGCCACCGAATTCTGTCTTCCAGGCTGCATTAAAATGTAGGGAGAAGTGCATAGGCCAACCTTCCTCCCCTGTACTGTAATGTGCTCCAGAATGGTCTTCTCCAGGTTCGTGGAACCGTAATTCCCAGAATTCCCCAGCCAACATGAAGAGAGTTTTCCAGAAGCCCAGGGAAATGCCCCTGGTGTCGCAATAGCATCACCACATGTGCAACCAACAATATTACTACTCAGTAACAGCACAGCAGCAAATGAGTTTCACATTTGGGTCGTCCTCTGCTTCATTTTTGCAATCTGCATTCAGGAAATTCTTGCAATTTAAATCAGGGAATTCATGCAACTTATTCAGAACTTATAAACAAAAACTCCTTTGTGGTGTCAGCCTAAGTCCCCTGTTATCTTAGCCCTCTCTCAAGAAGTCAAACTCTGTGTGGGGACAGCTTTTTTTCTGAATGGAATGGAATGCTGAGAGTTACCAAATGATTCATCCATAGCAATATTAACATTGTTGAGATACTTCCATAAAAATCCTAGCAAGCTGAAATGCGGGACAGGAAACTCTAAGACACCCTGAGCATAGAAAAATCAGAACGCGCTCATCTTTTTTATGTGGCTATTTGGCAAAAAGAAAAAAAAATCAACCACAAAATGCCAGTTCTCACCACATTTTGCAGCCAAGGATAAATACAAGCAACTGAAATAGCCACATATTACAGAGATAGTCAACCTCGTGTCTTCCAGGTATTTGGCAGTATATCTCCTAGAATTCCTGTTCACACTGGCTAGGACTTATGGAAGATGTAGTTCAAGGCATCTAGAATCCAGATGGCTTCCTTGTTTCTTCCAGCTTCCATTCTCCTCTCTTTTTCTTTGTTTCCACTTTCCTCTCACTTCTGTTGCCGTTTTCCCATTGCTGAATTTAGCTGCCTCAGAACAGGGTTCTGTCCTCTTATTCTAACATCCTGCAGTCTCAAAAGCAGATCAATAAGTATAATGCTTTCCTCCTTCAAAGTGCACCCCCAGAAGTAGTTAAAATGTTTTTGGAGACACACAACATTCTGCACTGGGGAATAACAGTCTAGGTTGTGACGTCCGGCTGAGAAGGGTGGCACGCAATCCCAGCCAAGGACCAACAGACCCACACAAGGAACGGAATGTCACCCGGGGGAGTTCCACTGTTCCTTTGCGCCCTTGAGTGAATTTTTGTGATGAGGAATTAAAACAGCCAGAAGAAATGCACATGTACGTACTCAGAAAGTAGGATGAATTAAACAGGATATGATACAAAATATGGTACAAAAAACTTCCCCCTGCCCTGTAACGTTTTGGGCACCCAACCAAATGTTTCCCAGCACTTACCTTGGCTTCGCATTTTTTATGGCTTGCCATTTTGCACACTGCAAGAGAAAAAGGAAAGAAATGCTCCAGATCTTGACTTGAGCAACTGTAAGGGTGGACACTTTCTGATGTTTTAATCCCAAGTATATTTTTTTCTGCAGGACAATAAAGCATGCTAGGTGAGGCTACATTTTGGGGGGGGGGGGCTAATGTCCTCCCTTCGATTTCAGTGCATAAGGAACACCCAGATTAATGAAATGGCAATTCTGGTGGGCACCAGTAAAATGAGGGCAGAGGACTGTAGAGAAGACTGGACAAAAGCTCTGTCTTCACAAAGCCCTTTCTGCGTTTTCACACAATATAAGGAATACAGATGAGCCAACAACTCAAAAAACTCCTACCTCTGCAGACAAGTCCTTGGGCTTCTATGGATTCCTTGCACACGATACATGCCTTTTTCTTCTTCTTAAAAACCTTCTCTTTGAAGCTGTGAGGCTCCGACACCTTCCCAGGCTGAAATGACAAATAAGAGCAGAAATGTGGATGGTTTCTTACATGGATCAATGGAGGCAGCTTCTTGTAGACACACGTGCGTGATGTCATCATGAAGCTTTCGCCAACACGGTGTTCTCTAGTATGTTGAGATGACAATTTCCAGAATTCCACATCAGAACTGCACATCAAATTTCTGACACACTTTATAAAAGATCCGTTGAAAAGGACTTTTTTGTGTTCTGTAAACAAGGACCCTTCTGAACATAAACATGCATCTTATACTCAGTATTGGAAAAGGGCCCAAAGCCTTATATTATCATGGTTTAAATCCATGCCTAATTCATGCCCATCTCCAACAATCTGGATATTTACCCCATCCAGAAAAGAGCAGGTGAAGTTTCAGTTCTATCCACACTGTTAGGGCCCCCTTACTTACTCTGAGTAGATATGGATTGTGGTGCACTATAATCAATGGGAGACAGCATCTACCTGTTTTATGAGGACAGGTTGATAAGGTTGGAACATTTTAATTTGGAAAAGAGAAAACTAAAGGAAGAGAGTATAAAAATATTCTCTTTTATTATCTCTACATTATTTGTAATTTCTCAATGTTTTACTCTGTTACCCATAATGTACATACCAACATCATCCTATGAAAGTAAATGAAAATAAATTCTGGATTTCTTTGCACAACATGGAATTAACTTGTAGTGGTCTTCACAAGATGCAGCAATATGAACCAGCTCAGATGTCTTTTTTTGTTTTTAAAGGATTAGACAAATTAATAGAGGACAGGGTTATCAACTCTATTGTAAAATAAAAGCCCCTGTTAAGAGACAGTGTGTCTCCAAGAGCCAGAAGCAACAGGGAATTCACCTCTCCATCCTACTTAAACCTCTTCCTAAAAGTATTTGTTGCTCAACCTCTGTTAGAACAAGTTACAGAGATACAGCTCAATTATATCTTAGCCATTATAACTGTATTTCTTCTCAACAATTATAACTGCCTATGACTAAAGTAGTAGTTCTAAAACCAAAAGGATATATTTTACCTTTCAGCAGTACATGTATGTCACAGATGAAGCATTACCATGTGTGAGAGCCTTAGTTTGTTTTAATTATGGTTTACTGCAGTACAAACTATAGTGATCTGATCAAATACAGCTAAACCATAAATCATGGATTATAACCCCAACTAGCTGGATAAACAATACTATGCTACACTACTTTGTTTAACCAAGGTTGTTTAATAAGCTGCAATTGGCAGGATTGGTGCAGCATATTCAGCTACATTTCATGCCTCATCAACCACAGTGGTAGATTAACACATCACACTAAGCCAAAACAAACCAACTCCATTGTGGTTTAATGCAACATGTGAACACAATCTCTGTTACAACTTTTAAAGATGGTGCTCACACTCTGCAATTATCGAAATGTGTATATAAAACACACACATATGTATATACACCCACACCCATGCATATTGCCTAATGTGTCAGAACCTTTTTTTTTAAATGAAGCAATCAATTAAAACCAAATTAAAAGCTCCAGCTCTAAATTAGATGGATCTCAAACTGACCCATCAGGGCAGTTTTATACAGACTAAAATATGCTTAGTTGAATACCTTGATGAGGTGTTTTGTTCTATAAATGTGCAAGGTCTTGCAAAACATTTGCAATCCACTCATTTGGGAAGGAACAGAAGACGACTGGGAACATTGTGACATGCCAAATAACAATAACTGTGGTGAACATTTCTCCATAAAATGCAAGCCTTGCATACACTCTCTACAAATTTCAAGAATGTGCGTGCTAAGGGTTCATGAGATAAATCTTCCTGAAATGCTGGGTGCCAGGTCAACAGTCAATGTTCTGTTGGAAGCAGCTACATATAAACCAGATTAATGTATTTTCTCAAACTAAACAAACAGAAGGAACAAGAGCTGCTGTTTTCCTCCCTATTTAAGACTTAGGAGAAGGTGAAGGAAGGAAGGTTGAAAACAGTTTCAACCTTAGCTTAAGGTTCAATGCCTCTGCATAGAAGTGGTTACTTCAGAATTTTTGATTTAAAGAACAAAACAATTGACAACTCTAT